CCCGTGCGTGGGTTCAGTACGCCGGTTTCGAAAACACGATGGAGACGCCCGCCCGCTCGCCAGCCCGAATGCGCACCGTCATTTCGTTCCAGACAGGACCACCGTTGGCCATTCGCGCCCTTAATCTCCCTATCCTGGTGCGCACACGAGAGGAACGCGGGAAGGCAGACCTGTGCCAGCTGTCGGATCATGAGAACCACTGCAGCGCGAGTGGCACCTGCTGTAGCCGCCCTGTTCACCAAGGCGGTCCGAACGATCCATCGGACCTGGCGGGCTGTAGTGCGTCGGGGCCTCCCTTCTGCGCCAGCGCCTCCCGCCCCACGTGCACGGCAATTGCGCGGAACGACCTCCCGGCCAGTGGGAGCCCCTCGATACGTCCTCGCCCCAAGTCCCTCCGCTGTGCAACAAGTGGTCGCTGTCGACGCTCGCTGCCATCCGCGCGCATCGGAATGCCACGGTCAACTGCCCACGCTGTGCTTCTAGGAGACTTCGTGATAAGGGACTTGTTCACGTGCTGCAGGCCAGCGCCGTGACCATCCAATGTCAATCGTGTTACCTTGGCCCAAGTACTCGGACATCTGCGCCGAAAACCGGTCAGAACCGAGGAGCTTCACATGTTCCTCAACGCAATGAGCCGCGAGTGTGTGTATATACATATCATTATATACTTGGATTGTTGCCAGCTGGAAGTTACATCACGAGAATAAAATGTTAGCACCTCACCCGCCACAGTTGGGAGAAAATTCTACACATTCTCATGATCGATGCAAGTCGCTCGCTAGTTCTGGTGGAATAGCGTTCTCCGCTACCACTCGAGTTCGCGCTTGCGCAGAGGCCTGAAAGTAGGTCAGGAGCGTATTCGCTATCGCAGTGCTACGTTGTTAAACTTCATGAAGAGTTTTTGAAGCATCGTATCGGATACAATGCGAACCTTCTTTCGAGTATGCGTACATGTAAACTCTAACTTTATGATAGTTATATCGGAGCACGATTCTTCCGAATTGTTTAATCATGTGACATGTATCGTATCCGGATACCAGTTACGTGATCACGATAAGTGAAATTTGTTCTCTACTGTGGCGGCAGTGTGCTGTTTATTCTGTGGAATCAAGATGCAGCATCATGTTGGGTAAACCTAGTCTTCGTTCCGGTAGTGAGATTTTTTCCTGTAGTCTTTATCGTGTTACGTTTAGCCGTCCAGTTTCTTGAAAAAATGAGAATTCTGACAAAATGCATTTCAGCATTGATTATTATTTGAGTTTTCATTCATAGTTCATTGCGATGTATTTTAATAAAGTGAAGTTATCACTTTTGAATTGGATGGCCAAAAATTGTTTCTCGTTTTTAATTACAGTGGATATCCTTTTGATTGATTAACTGTCATTGAGGATTGCCTCCTTGAATTAATGGCGGTAATTTATTTCTTCGTAACGAATATACAAGGAAGTGTAAAAGTATTTTCATTGAGACCATTTTGTTCTTATTCTTATTCTATAACCATGCACCTGAGAGAAAAATAATCTAAGAAATGTAAGTTTTCCAATTTGCTAAACCACTGAACACGTAATTGCAATTTCATATCTTGGAATGAAGGATGTTGGAGGCTTCTGGTTGTCGGTCATTGGCTGTGATTTCAAGAAGATAGGATGGAAGTGTTTTCATAATTGTAATAGGAACTGGTTTCTTCACGAAACCGCGTTTATCGTTCCTTGCTTCTTGAAACTTCTTTGTCGTCTGGTCTCTGTGGGTT